GAGCCGGGCAGCCAGGGCTCCCGGGCCGGCGACGACATCGAGATCGTGGTCAACGTGGGGGGCGTGCGGCAGGTGCTGTACGGAGACCTCCTCAGCCAGTACCCCGAGACCCGGCTGGCGGAGCTCATCGGCTGCCTGGCGGGGGGCTACGACACCATCTTCTCCCTGTGCGACGACTACGACCCCGGGAAGCGCGAGTTCTACTTCGACAGGGACCCGGACGCCTTCAAGTGTGTCATCGAGGTGTACTATTTCGGGGAGGTGCACATGAAGAAGGGCATCTGCCCCATCTGCTTCAAGAACGAGATGGACTTCTGGAAGGTGGACCTCAAGTTCCTGGACGACTGCTGCAAGAGCCACCTGAGCGAGAAGCGCGAGGAGCTGGAGGAGATCGCGCGCCGCGTGCAGCTCATCCTGGACGACCTGGGCGTCGACTCGGCCGAGGGCCGCTGGGGGCGCTGCCAGAAGTGCGTCTGGAAGTTCCTGGAGAAGCCCGAGTCGTCGTGCCCGGCGCGGGTGGTGGCCGTGCTCTCCTTCCTGCTCATCCTCGTCTCGTCGGTGGTCATGTGCGTGGGCACCATCCCCGAGCTGCAGGTCCTGGACGCCGACGGCAACCGCGTGGAGCACCCGACGCTGGAGAACGTGGAGACGGCGTGCATCGGCTGGTTCACGCTGGAGTACCTGCTGCGCCTCTTCTCGTCACCCAACAAGCTGCACTTCGCCCTGTCCTTCATGAACATCGTGGACGTGCTGGCCATCCTGCCCTTCTACGTGAGCCTCACGCTCACGCACCTGGGCGCCCGCATGATGGAGCTGACCAACGTGCAGCAGGCCGTGCAGGCGCTGCGCATCATGCGCATCGCCCGCATCTTCAAGCTGGCCCGCCACTCCTCGGGCCTGCAGACGCTCACCTACGCCCTCAAGCGCAGCTTCAAGGAGCTAGGGCTGCTGCTCATGTACCTGGCCGTGGGCATCTTTGTCTTCTCGGCCCTGGGCTACACCATGGAGCAGAGCCACCCCGAGACCCTGTTTAAGAGCATCCCCCAGTCCTTCTGGTGGGCCATCATCACCATGACCACCGTTGGCTACGGGGACATCTACCCCAAGACCACCCTGGGCAAGCTCAACGCGGCCATCAGCTTCTTGTGCGGGGTCATCGCCATCGCCCTGCCCATCCATCCCATCATCAACAACTTCGTCAGGTACTACAACAAGCAGCGGGTCCTGGAGACAGCGGCCAAGCACGAGCTCGAGCTGATGGAACTCAACTCCAGCGGCGCGGCTGAGGGCAAAGCGGGGTGCTCCCGCAGCGACCTGGACAGCCTCCTGCCGGAGCCCGCGGGGGAGGAGGGGCCGAGCTGGAGCAGCCGGCTGAAGATCTCCCACAGCGACACCTTCATCCCTCTCCTGACCGAGGAGAAGCACCACAGGACCCGGCTCCAGAGCTGCAAGTGACGAGGGTCTTCCGGGCACAGACGGACTTGGGCCAGCGGACGGAGGGGCAGGTGTGGCGGGCCTATCAGTGACTTCCTGGGAGGGGCTGTCCTTTGTCCCCTCCACGATCTCCTGAACAGAACTCTGGAGGCCCTCTCGGGCACCCCTGGTGAGGCTGGGTAAGACCCCTTTCTGTTGTCGGCTGTCAGGAGCCGGGGGTGGGGGGGGTGGGGGAGAGCGGGTGTGTCTAGGAGTCACGGGCAGTGTGGGGTGACGGAGGGCACGGTCTGGCCGACGGCAGGAGCCCTCGCCCGGTTCTGTATCTCCTTCAATAAAGCCTCCTGCTCTGTGCACCCACCTGTGTCATAGGTTCTGTCACAGGCTGGAGGTCCCCCCCACCCCTCAGACATGCCTTAGGCACACTCTGGTGCGAGGCCAGGAAGTAGGTGTGCAGCCCCCGGGGGCGGGGGTGGGGGAGGGGCTATTTTTAGTTGAGAGCTAATTAAAGAAGGGTTCGTACCCAGGGTTCAGCACCGAGAAGCCTTGCCACATTCCAGGAGGCTCTGTGCGGGCGACTCCTTCCTTCTGTTTCCTTCTGAGGAAAAGCTCGCTCCCTGGAGGGGGAGAGTTCGCAGAGCTCGCAACGCCCAGTGGCGTGGTCACCATTTATTCACCACCTGTGGGAAGCCCTATTCGTGACTTTTTCCATTCCTTCCAGCAACCCTGCTGGATAGGTATGCCCATTTTACAGATGAAGAAAACTGAGGCCCAGGACCACACAGAGCAGGGATTCAGCCCCAGGGGTGAAGATCCCAATGGCCAGGCATTCTCTTTGCTGTAAGCTGACCATGGGGCAGAGGCATGTGCCTGAGCCTAGAAGGGGGGGAGGGTCTGTGGACCAGAAGTGCTGAGGGTGGGTGTTCCTGGCCTCCAGCTCCTCCTGCCTTCTAGAACCAGTACCTCGGAGGCATCAGCTGAATGGACAAGCCTCAGCATGCACAGGTGGCCCACTTCCAGCCTGGTCTGAGGGCCCCAGAGGAACAGAGACAGACAGACGTGGGCTTGAAGCCCAGAGAATGAGGAGGATCGCTCTGAGATGCCTTCAAGCTCCGACACTTTTTTTCTAGCGTCCCTCCCTCGCCACTTTCTTTGTAGCTGTGTGGTCTCAGGCCTGTTGATGAACCTCTCTGATCCTCATTGCGATCGTTCCTTAAAGGGAGATATCAGAATGAACTTGGAGAACCATGGTGCTTAGCACAGTGCCTGGCGCATAGTAGGTACGCAGCAAAGGGCAGTCATTTCTGTCACCGTGTGCTGAGACGGAGGTGAGCCACACAGCTGTCCACTCTGGCCTCCAGGGTCCGGGCTGGGCATGCAGGGCGGCAAGGGGTGGGGCCAGGGCACGGCCACACTGTTTATATAGTCAAAGGCAGTGAAGTCCCCTTGGCACGGAGTTGGCCCCGGCAGGCCCCTCTCTCTGGCTGTCTCTCTTCCAGGAACCCCAGAGCTCTGTTCTCCCTTCCCTGGCTGAGGCAGCTGATGCCCAGGGAGGAGCCATGGTGGGGGGAGGAGGGTAGGTGGTCCCCCCCCCCCAGTCTTTCCCCTTCTCCGGGCCCTGGTTTTCCCACATACATACGGAGGGATGATTTCTCGGGGCTCCTTCCAGGATTTCGAAGCCTAGGGTGTGAACGCGTTGTGTTGGGGATTCCAGGGGGTGGGAGGCTGCCACGTGGGTAGGGGGACTTGGAGAGGAGGCCTTGAGAAAGAGGGGCGCAAGGCCCTGAGTCAGTGTTGTGTGCACCTCCCCCAAGTTTCACTAGGGAAATACTGGGTCAGGTGACCCAAGGAGGGCAGAAAACCGGTGGGGCTGGGGTTGGGGGACTCAGCGGGAAGGGGAGAAGTGGGGAGAAGGGGGCTTGTTGCGTGGGGTCCTGGTCTGTGTGGACCTAGCCTGGGGGGGGGGCTCTGATGCCTGAGTGGGGGAACAAGTTTCCCGATGGGGGGAGGCCAGGAGGACCCCGGATCGGGAGGGTCCTTCCCATTGATTCACCTGGGGGGTTAGGGGAGGGTATCTTTACGGCTACAAAAGCATCCTGGAGCCCAGCTCATCTCCTGGGGGGGAGGACACCATGTCTGGAGACGGTGATTTGTCCGAGACCCTTCATGAATTAGGCTTAGGTGGTATCCTGGTGTCAGAGGAGCTCAGAGAGCGACAGGCTTGTTGTGGAGGAGTGGCCAGGGAGCTGTGGGGACCCTCACCCCCCCACCCCCCCACCACGGGGAATCTTTCCAGGGCACAGTAGAACCACCTGGGTCCAGGCTGCGCCCACACCCATTACATTAGAATCCTCGGGGGACAGCCTGGCATCAGAATCTTTTAAAAACTTGAACGTGCACACGAGTCAGCTGGAGAGCCAGCCGGAGTGCAGGCTTTGAATCCGTAGATCTGCCTGGGCCCCTGAAATTCTGCCTTCTCCTCAAACTCCCAGAGACGGCCGCCACCTTCCAGGAACCCCGGGGCTGATCCTTGAGCCACACTTTCAGTTATCAAGAGGCCAGAACTATGGCCCGCCCCCCCCCGCACATGTACAGTCCCTGGGGTAAGGACGTTTCCCACATTTGTAAATGCTTAAAAAATAATCAAAGAAAGAATAACATTTTGTGACCCATGGAAAGTGTCTGAAATTCAAATAAAGTCTTCGTGGGACAGCCACGCCCATTTCTCAGATCCTCTCTGGCCGCTCTCAGCTACAGGGGCAGAGGTGAGGAGTTGTGGAGGAGATCACGTGGTCCTCAGAGCCTAAAATATTTCTCTGCAGTAACAGTGTGCCCCCCACCACCCCCGCCCCCGGGGCTGTTGGCAAATGGGAGCTCAGTCAGGCCTTGGAGAGTGAGTAGGAGCAGAAAGGACCATGCCAGCACCAGGGGCATCCTGAGCAAAGACAGGAGTGTGGGGCCCTCTTCAGAAGGGGGGAGACTTGTGTCCCTGGGGGTCACGGCTCCCCTTCTTTCTTTCCTTCCGAGAGCCCCCGGGTCCCGGTTTCCTGCATCAGTGTCTCTGCAGTCCCCACTCCTCTTTGCAAACCAGTCTCTCCCTCCTTTCCTGACCTCTGGTCCCGAGTCTCACCGAACCTCCCCGGTCCTGGGCCTGGGGCCTAACATCCTTTCCTTGGACTTGGGTGATTCTGAGAAACTTTTTGGGCCTCGTTAATTTCTGAGAGAGAACGAAAGAGAGAGAGATGTTTCTTGGAAACGCAGAATATCCAAGTTAAAAGGAAAATAGGCATGGTCGAGTCCACCTGTCCCCCCATTGCGCTGATGGGAAAACTGAGGTGGCAAATCGTGCAGTTGAGTGAGTGGGAGGCGGGGTTAATGAAAGGCCCGAAGTTCACAGCCGGATTGGGGGTCCCCTTTGTTCTCACAACATTGGGAGCATTGAGTGCCATTTTGAAAATACAGAACTGGGAGTGCAAGACTGGGTGTGTGTGTGTGTGTGTGTGTGTGTGTGTGAAAACAAATCGCAAGGGAATTAATTATCTTCGGTTTTACAGATAAGGAAATGGGGGCCCAGACAGTAGAAGCAACAGGCTGGTGGCCATGCCACTCCTTGGTGGCAGAGGTGGGAGCTGTGCCCACAGCCTGCGGCCCCCCCCTCACCCACAGCCAGGTCACGATGCTCTCCCCTCCCCCCCCCCACCTCCCCATCTCCATGAGAACTCAGGGTCCCCCAGAGCATCTCCCCTAGCATCCAGCCTAGAGCTTCCCCATGGTGTGAGAAGCCATCATTCCAGATGGACCGGTTCTGGTGGTGGTGTTTTTTTAAGGAAAGAATGAGAAGGAAAACACATTTCCTTGGGCGAGCAGCCCCAGACCAGATGCTCGGGCCACTCAGAGTTCAAGAGCCCTGTTGGCATTTGTAGGAGGTGTCTGGGGCATAAAACCTGCCATCTGGGGTCTCGAGGTACCACATCAAACAGTGAGACAAAATACCCAGAAAACGGGGGTTGGGGGGGGGATCTATGACAATGGCAAGACCTGAAATTACTTAACACTTCCTGAAAAATCCTGACAGAGGCAGGGTAGACTCCAGCAAGGGCCCAGGGTTACGGTAATGGGTGCACATCGCCCGATTCAAAGGGGTCCTGCGAACGGGGGCGTTTGGGTGGATGATGGGCCAGGGTGGGGAATGCTTAGAAGGCAGGGGGCCTTGCCTGCCCCTGGCCCGGGCTGGGAAGGGGCTGCCTTGCTCCTCCGCAGCCCCAGCCAGGCCGGGGCCTCCCCGCTGCCGAGCAGGAAGATAATTAAATGTCTCCGGGAACCTCCTGACATCTCCTGGGAAACCGGGGACAGGTGTTTCCAGAAAGACCTCCCACCTTTCCCCAGAGACAAGACAGCCCCATGCTCCGTGCTCACAGGAACCTCTTTGGCCGCAGATGTGTAAGGGGATTTCAGCTGTGCTCATAACCTAAAGGGGGGCCCCCCTCTCAAATGCCGTTCTCGGCTTGTACCAACCTAAGACTACAGGGCTACAGGGATGCTGTGGGTTTCCAAAAGGGGGGAACAAAAAACAAACAGAGAACAAGAATCAGGAGGCTGTGCTCTGTCGTCTCATTGTTTCCGAGGCTGTCACTAAGCCTGGGTGCCAGCCGGAATCGTGACTTTACCTCCCCCCTCTTGACTACCGGCCGGGAAGGTGTGCCTGCCCCAGAGTCAGATGAGACTGCTGTGTAAATTGCCCACGGTCGCACCCCTAAAGGGAGGTCGGCGTGGGACTCCAGACACCCTGCGGGGCAGCGTCCCTCCTCCTCCGGGAACGAGCCACCGCTGGCCTGGAGGGAAAGAGAGCCCCGAAAAGAGAGCCCCGAACGGGGCACCTGCCGGCAGCCACATGGTTTCTTTCCCAGCACAAACGTGATGCCTGTTGACGAGGGCTCGGCTGGGAACACGAGACCTGCTCTTGCCACGGCGGCAGCCCAGCTCTGGCCGAAGGGGCCGATACCCGGGCTGGGGCCAGTTGCCACTGGCATGCGTGCTGGCTCAACGGTCAGGAAGCCGGGTTTGAAGCCAGCGGCCACGTCTCTGCCATATTCGACTCATCGGGCTCCTTTGCTGGAATTGAGGGGGTGGGTCACGCTCGGCCTTGGAGTGGAGGCCCAGCCAGGTGACGGGAAGTGGAGCCCCCCCGGGAGCACCGGCTGCCACCCCTATCTT